GAGACCCCACATCCCGGCCCCACCCTTGCCCAGGAGTCACCGAGGATCTGGCTCAAACTGGGTCCCACTGGGCCACCCTGAGGAGAATCACTCACTCGTTCAACCTCCATTCCTGAGTGCCCGCTGTGGGCCAGGCTTTGTGCCTGCAGCCGGGACACAGAGATGGATGGGGCCTTCCCTGACTGGGAGGCTTCCCAGGGACACTCCATGTGAGGCCAGACAGCAGCGGAGAGGAGAGAGCCCCGTGTAGACCAGCACAGAGGGAAGAAGGGAAGGGCAAGGAAGGGTTTCGAAGGAAGTCTGCCACTGACATGCAGACCCACTTCCCCTCAGGACGCTTAGCGTCATGCTGGGGAAACCCAGCGACCCCCAGGAAGGACACCACGTGGGCGGAGATGACTGGTGTCTTGGGGCACGCACACATGAATGCGGGGGAGGCACAGAGGGCCTGTACGGAAGGCTGGGGCTCTGGGGAATGCTTGCAGGGGCCTGAGAAGCAGCCTGGTACAGCCTGGAAAGACTGGCCAGATGTGGAAAATAAGGGCAGTGGATGCTCTCATTGAGGGGGGGTTCACCATGTGCAGGCAGAAAATTGCTAAGCGCTTCGCATGCAGCTTTTTTTGTTTTATCCTCACATCACCCTATGAAGTAGTAAGCATTATTATCTCCAATGTACAGATTCAGAAACTGAGGCTCAGAAAGGGTCACGTAGCTAGGGACGGGCAGGGCCAAAACTTCGGCTCCAGTTCTTCACCACCATGCTGGTCTATATTCCTAATCTGTGGACAGGCAGAAAGAAGCAAGGGTGCTTCAGGTCAGAGGTAGCAGGCGAGGCTAGGAAGTGGGATCGATTGCCGTGTGTTTGAGAGTTGCCCAGTTCTACTCTGTACCAACCCTGCGTTGTGTGTGTGTGTGTGTGTGTGTGCACGCACACACTCACATGTACCCTACTTTACAAGTGTCTGGTGTTACAGAACTTCCTGAGAGCCAAGTAAAGAATAAGTCATTAGCAGAGCAGGGAAGGATAGCCCAGAGAGGAGAAGGAACTTCTGAAAAGTCACACAGAGGAACCAGGACAAAGTCTAAGACGCAGAACTGCAGGCCTCTTCCTTCCCCTCAACTGCCTCTCCAGGTCACTCTGGAGTGAATCTGCTGCTCACAGGAAAACCACGGTGTCAGGGGAACCCCAGGGATGAGTCAGGAACCAGGCAGCCCTCAGACACCAAGTGGGCCCATCACAGAGGCCCTGGGCCTGAGGCTGGCCTCCTCCCAGGCAGCGTCAGAGGTTGCGGGAAAGAGGGAAGCCGGCGTAGCAGGACGCTCAGCCCGTGTTTACCTCTGGGCTTCCCTCCTGGCTCCTCAGACCCAGGCTTACGGGAGGGGAAGACGGTGGGCAGGACAGTTCCTGCTGAGATTAAACCGGCCCCCCACCGCACCCCGGCCCTGGCCTGTCCTAGAGAGGGGCCCAGGCTCTTCCCTCCTGCCTGCCTCTCACATAGCCAACTCCTGACCCTTTGATGCTCTCGGTGAAATCGTAACCGCCCCCTGAGTTCCCCGTGGGGTAGAGAAAGTGGGTTTAAAGATTTGGAGCGAGGGGTCAAGGCCAAGCCAAAACCACAGGGTGCCAGCGGGCCCCAGATGTTACAACTCAAAAGGAATGCTTGGGGCTTGGGGCTGCCCCCCTCTGGGCCGGGAGGGGCTGTCTGGGTCTCAGAGGGGGACAGGGGCTGCGTCCCCAGGGTTGGGGGGTGAAAAGGTGGGGAGGAGCTTCCAGGCAGTGGTTCAAAACTCTGAGGTCTCAAGAGAGAGGGGACTGCCCCACACTGCCGAAACCTCAGAGGAGCCCTGGAGGAACCAAAAAAACCCCCCACGATGTGAGAAATGTGTGCTCCCACTGGCTAACCTTTCACCTCGGCCCTCCCTAGGCTGGACGAGGAAGGGAGGGGCTGCAGGCACTTCTTTCCAGCCAGCCAGCTCTCCAGCCCCCGCCCCCTGATGACTGACTCACGTTCCCTCCACTGCCCCCCAGACGCCTGTCCTGTATGGGCAAACACAGAGCCTTCTTGGGCGACTCCCTCTCTATCACTCTGTAGCACTCATCACCCTCCCCGGTGTCACTACCCACCCAGCCCAACCCAGCCACCTTCCTGAGTGTCTGCCATGCTCTTCGATCTAGGCTGGGATAGAAAGAAACACAGGGCACATCCTGGGACACTCTCTCCCCTCTGACTGTGCCTCCCCCCACCCCAGCCCCAGACCTCCCCGAAGCCCCTGTGGCCCCTCCTTCCCCATCACTACCGCCATCGGCTCATTCTCCCTTGATCGCTGGGTCCTGAACCCCAGCACATCTGGCAGACTGTCCATCCTAAAGTGCCACTCTGACGAGGTCACCCCCCTGCTCGAAAACCTTCAGCAGCCCTCAAGGTCTATAAAGCAAATCCAAACATCTCATCTTGGCATTCAAAGTCCTCCACGAGTTGAGGCAACTGACCATTCCCCCTTCCCATTCCTGCCGAGTCTCAACTCTTCAGCCAGACTGATCAAGCGAGCAGTTTCTTCAAAATTCCCTGACCCCCTCTTCCCTTTTCCATCAAATCTGAACCCTGGTCTTGGTGGTCATAAAAGGAGGCAGAGTGGTACTGAAGCTTTGCTTATAGGATCTGCCGCATAGCATGTGGGCTACTTTCAAACAAGGTTGAAAAAAACTTCCCCTGAACCTGCTGACCCCCTTACCTTCCTCAAGGCATTCCCCCCTACCCAAAACACAGCCTTAGCTGTGGATGCCGAAACCTTCCAGATCCTTAAGGCCCGCCCAAGACTTCACCTGCTCCAGAAACTTTCCTGAAGATCCCTTTGACTCTTCATCTGTCTCCTATCAGAGTCCCCTTGTCCAAGTTCTTTACCAGATTGTAAGCAACTAAGGATGGGGTCAGCGTGTCATCATCCATCATTCATCACATGGGGTGGAGGGGTGGTGGGAGGACTTTTCCCTAGATGCTTACTAAGCACTGTTGGAAAGGGACGTCTCTTCCCTGTTCCTCCCGCCATACAGGCAACACCTACTGACCCCTCTCCCTCCCTACCACACCAAACTCTTAATCTTATGCCACTCAAAAGCTTAGAGAGGGAGTCTGCGGCCCCAAGTTGATCTAAACCCAAGCAGGACTTGGAAGCTCAGGCAGAAAGTCCTGTTCCAGTCTCGACAACTCCAGGAAGCCCCGTCACCCCGTCACCCCGTCACCCCCCGCCCTGGTTTCCCTAGGGTCCCACCTCTCTTGGGCACCACCCCTCCCATACCTACACATGCTGTCCCCTCCACATAATTAATAGTACAGCCCTCAATCAAACTCTGTCCCACGGTGGTTTAAGTCATGTCCAACTCTTGTGACCTCATGGGTTGTAGCCTGTAAGGCTCCTCTGTCCATGAGAATCTCCAGGCTGGAACACTGGAGTGGGTTGCTATCCCTTTCTCCAGAAGGGCTTTTCAAGCTGGTTCCAAAGTATAGGGCTCATCTTGCCAGGAGATGCGAGGAGTCAGTCACCTTCAGTGCCCAACCCTGATCAAACAGATAAAAGTGCACACATTGCCCCTCACCTCCACCCTGAGCCCAGAATGCAATGGAAGAGCTGGATTCTGGCCACCAGAGCAGTTCCACATCCATGACATCTCATCCGGCCTTAAGCTCTGGGTGTGAGTTATCTTCTCCAGCAGAGGCATGGTGGGGATAGGGACCCCACTGGGAGCAACTCAAAATGAGTGCAGAACCCAAAAGCTAGTTCATTTCTACATCACATCACCTAGCTCCATCCGATATATAATAGATGTTAAGTAAACCTTTGGGGGCTTATTTAACCAGACACCTAATGACTGCAAGAGTATTACCCAAAACTCGGCCAGTCTTTGGCCTAGATGACACCTCCCCCCAACCCCAAAATGGACTGTGTTGGTGGTGGCAGGTGGCGAGTTTTGGCTCTCACAAGGTCAGGAAGAGCTTCAGCCAGCCCTCCAAAAACAGTCTCATTCCCAGGCAGGAAGCCAGTCTATCACCTGCCCATCCACATCAGAGCAGCTGTCATACAGGGAGGGCTCCCTGGGTGCCTGGCGCCTTGCTAAGCACTGTATACACATTATTGTATTAAGTCCTCCCTGCCAGGTGGCTCAGCGGTAAAGAATCCGCCTGCCAATGCAGGAGTCGCAAGTTCGATTCCTGGGTCATCGGAAAGATCCCCTGGAGAAGGATATGGCAACCCATTCCAGTATTCTTGCGTGGGAAATTCCACGGACAGAGAAGCCTGGCAGGCTACAGTCCACAGGGTCACAAAAGAGTCGGACACAACTTAACGGCTAAACAACGACCACCACCACTATTGTTGCTTATCATCACCATGCCCATTTTACAGATGAGGAAACTGAAGCACAAAAAGTGACTGGAATCCAAATCAATGCGGTCCCAACTCCTTGACCACCGAACTAGCTAATCTGGCCCAACGCAGAGCACCTACCACCACCAGGGACAGAAACCTCCAGCCCAAGAAGGAACTTGGCATGCAGCAAGAGCCCCAAGCTCTGGGCTTGACTTTGGGCCCAACGTTTGGTGGAGTTTTCCCTTGTCTTCCCCACTCACCCAGATAAGAACTTGTCCCCTAGCTTCCGCCAGGGGCCTCCCAAGCCAGCTCACCTGGAAAAGCCCTGAGGAGAGGGGGAGGGCAAAGTCCGGCTGAGTTTCCCACCCCATGTCTTACTGGGCTCTCAGGGGTGGGGGGAAGGGGAGGCTGAGACCTCCCTGACTTGGGTCACCACGCCCCCTCTGCCCCCCAGCTTTCCCAGGCCTGTGACTTCAAGTCCCATCGGAGGAACGAGTGCGACCCTTAAAGCAATGCGCTTCAAGCTCGCAGAGAAATTCTCTTTGCTCAGTGCCACTCTACAGGGAAACAGACTGTAGTCTGGGTGACGCGATCTCAAATACCTGTTGCAGTACGCTCTCACTTGCCGGCCTCACCTTCCGAGGGTTTCCAGCGAGAAAGGGCAGTGGAAACACGGAGTCCACCTGGGTCCAGCCCCTCCTTGTACTGGAACCCGAGAGGTCCAAAGCCGGTTAATGGGGGGACGCGCCTGGGGTCACACAGCTGGTGCGCGGCGAAGCCGAAGAACTGGGAGGGGGGGTGGCGGTCAGGACTTGGGAACTTAAGTTCCTTCTCAATCAACCACCAGCTTGCCTTCGCGGCCCGACCTGTCACTTGTTCCGAGAAAGCTGCCGCGAGCGTAGCGCGACCTAACGGTCCCGCCCCCTCCTCAGCCTTCCTAAACCTTTCCAGGCTCCTCCCAGGCCGCTGGAAGGTCCTCCCAGCATCCCTGCCTCTGCCTCCCTCAGCTCCAGGCCTCTATCCCCCTCCACCAGCCCTCCTAGGAAGAGGCCACTCCCCAGGAACGCCCCTTCCCTCGCTTCACCGCTTCTCTAATCCAGCTCTGCCTCGGCAACCCTACCCGGGTCAGGCACGCCTCCGGGCGCCTCTCCCCCCACACTTGGCATTCCAGGTCGGGTGTATCCGGGTGCAACAGGGAAACGGCGGCGTGGGAGCGGTTTGCGTTCCAAGTCCGGGCCTCTATCAAGACGTAGCTTGGACCCAGGCACTGTTTGAAAATACTAACAGCCACCACGGATTGAACTCTCGCCGTGGGCCAGGCTCTATGCCAAACTCTGGCTTAAGAAGAGTACTTTACAAGGACTGGCCGTTGAGTTCACAGAGCTCTGGCCAGATGTTGCGCCCGTTTTACCGATGAGCAACCTGAGGCTTAGAGAAGGGAAGTCACGGGCCTCCGGAGTCTCACACGGGTGGTGAGCAGGACCCAGCCCCAGGGCCGTGAATCATAAGGCTTGATGCTGCACCAGCTTGTCTGGACTGGCCCCTAGAGAAGTAGCCCAGACCAGCCAGCTACTGAGACAGTTCTAGCAGGCTGCCGGAGGTAAGGGAAGGAGGCGTGGGTTGATGAGCTGGGTGGCAGGGAGAGGCAGAGGAAAAAGAAGGTGGCTTTCTCTCTGGAGAAGAAGTGGCTCAGAGTTAAGATGGGCGGCAGAAGTTCTCCAGTGGCTGTGGTACCCCCACTTGCATCCCATCGCCAGCCTTGGGTCCCTGTGTAATGACTAGAGCCATTGACCTGTCCTGCTGACAAAGCTCTTTCGCTCGCATTATCTCACTGACATCTCACAAGGACACCATTGTGGGGAGGGTATGATTATGCTAGTGTTGCATGGGTGGAGTAGGCTGGGGAGCTGGATCCCTGCCCAGCAAGGTAGTTCCCGAAGCACAGTCCTCAGACCAGCAGCAGCATCTGGGAACTTGTTAGGAACGTGTGTCTGGGGGCCCCATCTCAGATCTACTGAGTAAGAAACTCTGAGGTGTGAGCCTAGCAAGCTTACTTTAACAAGGCCTCAGGGAGATTCTCAGTCACACTTGAGAAGCACTGCTCGGCGTGAAGGTGCAGTTAGTGTGATGTGAGAACCACACAGACCAGGGAAGCTCCTGGGAGCCTGTGACCCAAGGCAAAGCAAGGACGGTGCTTAATTTACCTCTCTAGACCAAGCCCTCGAAAGGGAAAATCAGGGGAGCAATCTTGAGGGTGGCTGTTGAGGATTAAATGTGGTAATGCCCATGAAGTGTTTGGCCACTCTTAGATACCCTGCCTGTTCAATAAATAACTGTTCTCTTTCTAGTAAAAAGTCTCCTTCATAGAATCTCCACATCAAGCTGGAGGAGTGGGGTTGGGGAGTCCTCTAAGCCTAGAAATGCCCCATAGTGTTGTCCCTCCTACAGAAGGATACCACTTTCCTGCAGGTTCCAAGAGCCTAAAAAGCCCTGGAGATACTGATGCTGCTGGTCCACGGACCACACTTTGAGAACCATGGTGCTATTCTGCCTTGGGCTGGGTTGCCGCCCCCCACCCTAGCCAGTCCCTGCAAAACGGGCATAAACTACCTTCCTTTCCTACCCTGCTTCAGATTCCCTCCCCTCAAGCTGGGGGTGTTGGTGATGGTGATTGGCAGGTGGCTAAACAGCTGGATTCCATCATCCTACCCTACCCCCTTCCTCCAGGCAGGCATGAGATCACATTTGTCCATCTGCTACCCCTTCCTGTCTCTGTCACTCCAGATTAGAGATGGAGACAGCGGTGGCAACATAGAGGGCAGTCTGCAGGCGGCTTCTGGAGTCTCTACCCAGACTCCCCCCACCATCCTCTGCAGCTCATGGAAGAGTGGCTCCTGTAGGAACTCTGGCCAGGGGCGCTGGTCCTATTCCACAGACCTACCTTGACATGTTGATCGTGAAAATCAAGGCCCATATACCATGTATCTAAACGTTTAACAGACTGCAGTGTTGAAGAAGACTCTCAAGAGTCCCTTGGACTGCAAGGAGATCCAACCAGTCCATCCTAAAGGAGGTCAGTCCTGAATATTCATTGGAAGGACTGATGCTGAAGCTGAAACTCCAATACTTTGGCCGCCCGATGCGAAGAGGTGACTCATTTGAAAAGATCCTGATGCTGGGAAAGATTGAAGGCAGGAGGAGAAGGGGACGACAAAGGATGAGATGGTTGGAGGGCATCACCGACTCAATAGACGTGAGTTTGAGTAAGCTCTGGGAGTTGTTGATGGACAGGGTAAGGCCTGGCCCGCTGCAGTCCCTGGGGTCGCAGAGTCAGACATGACTGAGCAACTGAACTGAACTGAAAATAAAACATGTCTGTTCTTCTGCCTTGAGAAATATTCTTTGCAATGACCCTAAGGCCATATTGAAATTTAGAATTCTTGTACTCTTTGGAATTCTGTGCAGGAACGTGGCGATGTGGAAGAAGTCGGCCCTGACTCCAGCCCTCGCTGCCACCCACCCCAGTTCTCTTCCTAGTGCCATCTCTGCCCTGTGTCACAAGTGGCCTAGGACTCCAGCCTGTGAACACCCCAGGCCCCGGGCCCAAACTCTGTCTACACAACTTGCCTACAGCTACCACTAGTCACACCTCTAGGGGTACATAGGGGGGCATGCTGTCCCCCTGGATGGACCTGGAAAAGTTGCTCATGTAATTCCTAAAACTATGCTTGGGCCATTTAGGCAGCGATATCTAGGTTTCAGATAACTGAAGCATGATAGAGGAGGGGTTGGGGTGCAGGCTCTGGGTAGATACCAGTGGCCGCCTGTCCAAGGTGATGAGTGGCACTGTCGTTCAGCCTGGTCTTCCCAGCACCTAGCATAATTCCAGGCACACACTGGAAGCTTAAGGGACAGTCATTGAATATATTCATGTCTCAGTTATTTAATGAAATATCAAGTTGGGTTGGTTTTCCAGCATTTCCTTCCAGCCAGAGTCAGCCTTTGTCATAACTTGCCTCGGGCATTTTTCCTGGCAGAGAGCTGAGCCACCTCTAGTGAGAAATTACAGATAGAAATCTTTTGGGAAAGTCTCCAATCCATTTCAGAGGTGAAGCCGCGAATTCTGCAGGCAGGAAAAGGAGCAAGAAAAACTACTCTAGAAAGACTTGAGGCAAGCCTGCAGATGACCACCTTGGAGGTAGGGGAGATGGTGGTTATGGCAAGACCTCCAAAGGGTGTGGTGGTGGGGTTTTCAGCCTCTCAAAAGATGCTCCACTCCAGAGGTGGCTCCGGAGCTGCAGAGCAGGAGATCTGAAGGTCCTCGTGTGGTGCAGGAGCATGGGTGTCAGGGTCTCCGTGACGCCTGGGCCTAGGTAAGTGCCCAAGACATTTTACAGCTCTGGGGGTTGCGGGGGCTTGGGGTGGGGAGGGAAGATGGAGGACAAGAGGTACATCTGTTTCTGATTGTTGTGTAACAAACCACCAATCATTTATTCAGCCCACAAATCTGCCGTTTGGAGTTGGTTCCATAGGGAAGGCTTCTCTCTGCTCTACGCAATATCAACCTATTCAACTGGAAGTTAAGGACCCATTTCCAAGATGGCGCACTCACCCAGCTGGCTAGCAGCTTGGTACTGGCTGTCAGCTGGGAGCTCAGCTAGAGTTGGGGACCTGTTCCTCTGCATGAGGTCTGGCGGGCTGCTGGGGCCTCCTCACAGCAAGATGGCTGGGTTTCAAGAGCTAACAGAGATCAAGATAGAAGCATATGACATTTTGTGGTGTTTAACGACCTAGCCTCAGAAATCATGTCGCATGACTTCCTTTGTATTCTATTAGTGGTGTGTGCATGCTAAGTTGCTTCAGTCGTGTCCAACTCTTTGAGACCCTATGGACTGTAGCCTGCTGGGCTCCTCTGTCCATGGGATTCTCCAGGCCAAAATACCAGAGTGGGTTGCCATGCCCACCTCCAGGGGATCTTCCCAATCCGTGAATCGAACCCATATCTCTTGCGTCTCCTGCATTGGCAGGTGAGTCCTTTACCACTAGCGCCACCTGGGAAGCCCTTCTATTAGTAGAGGCAATCACAAAGTTCCACCTAGTTCAAGGGAAGGGGCATAGTCTCCTTCTCTCTATGAGGGGTTGCAGTGTTCTAGAAGTGCTTGCAGGACAGAAAATATTGTTGCAGATATTCCTGTTGGCCGGCGAATCAATCTGAAAAATACAATGTTTCGAGCAGGACCTCAGAACAACTGTAGTAGAAAGTCCTGTGGTGGGAACTGAGAGTCCAAATTAAGCTGATTTAAGGGGAAAGGTGCCCAATATGTGCTAACACAACCGTTTGTTCACAAGTAAATCAGAACTCTGGCAACGGACACTTAGTCTTGAGTGTTTGGGTTGTTTAGGATCGTCCTTCTTCAGAGTCCTCAGAACTTCAACCTGTAACCATGTCTTTAAAGTTCTAAACTCATAGCAACCATTGGATCCTCGTAACAACAATCCGGGACGTACATACTATTATGATTCCCATTTCTAAGATAGGGGAATGGAGGCCCTGAGGAGGTAAGTAACCAGCTCAGGGTCATATAATTAGTAAGTGACAGAGGAAAGAGAAGTGAGAGTTTATAGCCAACCCAGTTTTCAGTTGCAAGAAGCTGACTCCAATGGGAAAGACCCAAGCTGGGCAGGCCTCAGACACCCAGATGTTGGCCACCAGGTCCATCTCCGAAGGCTCACCCTGAATCAAAGAGCTCCCCCCGGGGCCTTGAAAACACCCACCTTCCTGCCTGAGAAGCAGGAAAAACGCTGGTCTCCAGGGAGCTGGGCACNAGAGATTGCCAAGTCAAAACTATCTCAATGATATTGTTTAATCCCCTTCTTTAGAGGCCATAGAGTAAAAACAATTGAACTTTAAAATGATCAAGTGAATTCCCCTTGAAACTTCACTGTGAATTTCTCAAAAGGTAGAGTTTGTACCTGTGAAAGTGAAAGCCACTTAGTCTTAGACTCTTTGCAACCCCATGGACTATACAGGCCAGAATACTGGATTGGATATCCTTTCCCTTCTCCAGGGGATCTTCCCAACCCAGGGATCAAACCCAGGTCTTCCACATTGCAGGGGAATTCTCCAGGCCAGAATACTGGAGTGGGTAGCCTTTCCCTTCTCCAGGGGATCTTCCCAATCCAGGGATTGAACCCAGGTCTCCCTCACTGCAGGCAGATTCTTTACCAGCTAAGCTACCAGGGAAGCCCCAAGTTCCCAACAAAGGGACTGAGCCATTGGTTGCTTTCTTTTCTTTCTTTAATTTTCTGTCTCAGCCATTTAACAAAGATCATTTAGACCCCTGCTTGGATCCCACCCTGCCCCCTACTACATCTGAAGGTCTGAGGCTTAATCCCATACAGCCCTGGCCTCATGGGGCTTTCAGCACATTTGGGAAGCTGACCCAGAAACTGGGGCAGGGGTGCCCCACAGCACCAAGAATGATGGCAACATTGACTACAGAGCCTCCGTTTTTAACGTAAGCTCTTACCATGCACCAGGCAAGTTAAAAACGGCTGTGAGTATGTTTAACTAATTTGATAACTAGCGTTCGTGTAGTGCTTTTCTTACAAAGTTAAGGTTTTTTTTAAAAAACACCTGTGGCACTTGGGCAACTGTTTGAAACTGTTAAAGGATGTCTCCCATCCACAATTCCCTGTTGCATCTGTCTTCCACTTTCGGGCATCAGGTCAACCCCATGGCAGGGGTTGGGCACCCCAAACAGTCATGAGCCCACATGCCAATGTATGTGAGTTTATTTATTTATAATTGAGATGTATGTGTCTTGATTCTAAGTAAATGTTGAGATGTATGCTTCTTGATTATATATGTTATAAATAAATGGTAGCATTTCTGTTATAAATAAAAATTGAGATGTAGGCATCTCAATTATAAATAATATAAGTAAATAAATGGTAGCACCTTGCTGCCATTTGGCATATTTTGAACTGCATGCAAAATCAAAATTTTAAAAAACAAGATTTAAAAAATCATTTAAAATATTCAAGATACACAAACATAAAAATCAACACATAGGCAACCTTATTATTTTCTCCTGGAACCACAGTAGATCCTTGTTGGAGACCATCTCTCATGGCCTCTGTGCCTACAGAGAAGAGCAGAAAAGCAGAAAACGGAGAAGGCTCCTCTGGACAGCCCTATTTCAGTGTCTTTAAATACACCTCCATCCCTGGATGGGGAGATGGATGGGGAACTACTACCAAAAGGGGACCAGAAATGGCAGCTCTCACCTGCCAATGGGTGGAGCTGGACAAGACCAGTGTGAGATCCTTCCCTAAAGTAGGTGCAAGGCCAAAAAGAATACTCCCATGACCCTCAAAAGCCAAGGGTGTAGACAGTCTCCTCCATTGTAAAGCTGAGGACGCCAAAGCTCAGAGAATTGAATTGAGAAAAAAAAATTTTGCATCTGTCATGAATATTTCATCATTGGGGATTTCACAATATTTAGATGTACAACTTCTGATGAAAGAAACAGAAAAGTCCAGAACACCCTGATGTGCCTTCTGATAGGGCAATAGCTAGTGGACCTGAGTATGACACCCCCTTTGTAACGTACACCCCCCAGCTGACCACAGTCCCCACCTCTCCCTATTGCCTACCTGACTTGCTCACCTCATTTCTGTGAGCTGCCTGGTTGCCGTGGGCAGCTGAGCTTGCAAGGCCTGGGCTCAACACAGGCTGGTTGAATCGCTGTTCGTCCTGAGAGCTCTCTGAGTATTAGCACCGCCTCACAGACCTCTGCCAGAAGACACCACGGACTTTCTTCCCTTCTCTCCAGGACCCTCCCTAGGAAAGCGGCAGTGTTAGCACACTGCTCCTCTGTGAGAGATTGTTTAAGCTCAGATCTCTGACCTCATAACTTTCTCACCAGATGACCTTAAGCATGCATCCTCACTTGTCTGGGTCTGTTCCCTCATCTGTAAGCTGCAGACAAGGTTCATGCAACATTTGCTACAGTAGGGCGTTAAGATGGACTCGTTAGTCGTCTCCAAGTCATTGCTTTCACTAGCAGCCATGTAGAAATTAAAACGAAAACAAAACAAAAACACTTCCCCAGGCTTCCCTCTGAAACGAGCATTTAGCGCCCTCTGGTGTCTGTAGCTCTCAGTGCAACCAATCAAGAGCCGCTTGGAGATGAAAGGCTGCGGGGGCGGTGAGAGGCTAGGGTCCCCAGCCTCCACTCTGGTCCTGCGGTCGGTTCAGGCTCCCAGGAGGAGAGTGGAGGCCCGACATGAGGGCCAGGCAAGGGCGGGTGTGGAATTAGGCTCCTTAGGAGGTTCCAACTGCAGATTCCTCATCCAGTGCAGACACAGAAACTCGCGTGGGATGTGGGAGCCAGTGTCAGTTGGCCTGCAGTGCCTCCGGGTGTCTGAAGGCCGTGAAGATGGATGACTCTTGTTTAATAATGGTGATGAAAAAATATTTAGTAGGCATTGAAATGATATTGAGTAGGCAATGCAATAATATACAGTAGGCATTGTATGGGGGAGATACCCCACGTCCGAGGGCAGAGAAGCCCCAGCAAGACAGTAGGAGGGTTGAAATCGCATTTAGAATCAAACCCCATACCCGCCAGAGAGGCTCAGAGCGCTCAAACAAACGTGCGCACCAGGACCCAGAGACCCCACAGAGACCGAGACAGAACTGTGTTTAAGTGTCTTCCGTGGAGGAAAATTCTGAAAGAGATAGGAATACCAGACCACCTGACCTGCCTCCTGCAAAATCTGTATGCAGCTCAGGAAGCAACAGTTAGAACTAGACACGGAACAACAGACTGATTCCAAATAGGAAAAGGAGTACGTCAAGGCTATATACTGTCACCCTGCTTATTTAACTTACATGCAGAGTACATCATGGGAAACGCTGGGCTGGATGATGCACAAACTGGAATCAAGATTGCCAGGAGAAATATCAATAACCTCAGTTATGTAGATGACACCACCCTTACGGCAGAAAGCGAAGAACTAAAAAGCTTCTTGATGAAAGTGAAAGAGGAGAGTGGAAAAGTTGTCTTAAAGTTCAACATTCAGAAAACTAAGATCATGGCANCAGGAGTTGGTGATGGACACGGAGGCCTGGTGTGCTGCAGTCCATGGGGTCGCAAAGAGTCGGACATGACTGAGCGACTGAACTGACTGACTGAGGCATTGAACGCACAGGAAGTCGAGTCTAGTTGTTCATGCAGAAAAATTTACAGCACTTGCAAAGCCCCCTGAATTGTTGAGTGGATTTGGGCTTGGCTAGAGATTCAGGCTTAATTGAGCTCAGTTTCCAGGAATAAGGCCTCAAACTACGCTGCATGCTTCTGCATGCTTAGTTGCTCAGTCGTATCCGACTCCTTGTGACCCTGTGGACCATAGCCCTACAGGCTCCTCTGTCCATGGATTTTTTTCAGGTGAGAATTACTGGAGTGGATTGCTGTATGCCCCTCCAGGAGATCTTCCCGATCCTGGGACCTAACCCGCATCTCCTGTGTCTCCTGCATGCACTGCAGGTGAATTCTTTACCCACCCAGCCATCAGGGAAGCCCAAACCATGCTGCAGCACTGGCCTAATAAGACAACTGTCACCATCGCATCCTCCACCTGATACCCCTCTGCCCCAGGAACTGCAGACCCTTGGGAGCCCACCACCTCCGTCAGGACAGCGAAATACAGAGGCTCCTCGCGGAGACTGTTCCCTCCGAATGCAAGCCTTGTGAGCGAGTGTCAGACCCAAGGCCCCAAGGCCACTGGCCTGCAGGCTTCCAGAAAGGCTGGGAATTAAGAGTTCTGATGCTTGCTCCGGGAGGCAGAACCTGTAATGTGGGAATTTCTTCCAGTATAGAAAGATTATCCAAAAGATGCAGGGAGGCTGTGAATATGACAAGTGCCCCCTGCAGCTCCTGCTGATGGAGGGGGTACCACACACCAAGCTCCGGACATTATCTCATCTTATCCTCACACTCACCCTCAGAGGTAGGGACAATTACCATCCCTGCTTTGTGGAGACAGAAACTAAGGATCGTGTGTTTAATTAAATGTAATAAATAAGATCTCGCAGCTGGGGAGTGGCAAAGCCAGGAACAAGTCAAGATCAGTTCAGCTCAGTTCAGTTACTCAGTTGTGTCCGACTCTTTGCGACCCCATGGACTGCAGCACACCAGGCTTCCCTGTCCATCACCAACCTCAGAGCTTGCTCAAACTCACATCCGTTGCGTCGGTGATGCCACCCAACCATCTCATCCTCTGTTGTCCCCTTCTCCCACCTTCAATCTTGCCCAGCATCAGG